TGAATCCCTTGAGTAATGCCTTCTTGTGCCAGGACCTTCTCTCCTCTCACCCTGTGGCTCCACAGCTGCCACCTGTGCCAGCAGACCCCTAGGACCCTTCTTGAAAAAAGGCTGGAGGTGGCAAGGTGGGGTGAGGATGGGGGCAGAAGAGTAAATCTGTGCATATTCAGGGAGCCTGTCTCTATCAACGCTTCTCTTTGAAGTTTTGCCAGCAAATTAAAAACAAAATCAAAATGAGAGAATAGCAAAAAGAGTTCAGACCTGTTTGCTGACATTTTGGCATGTGCAGGTGTTCCTTCATTTTCTGACTAGCAGACCCCAATTGCTTTTACCACATTTCTTTTTTCCCGTGTCAAAGTAGGGAAAAAGGAATCAGAATGATTCTTTCAGGAGACCAGTGTGGAGTTGAGGAGATGGCAGGGTACTCTCAATGAAGACATTCTCCACTGATGGGTAATCAGCCCCACTCCTTTGGGACACTCTGTGCTGATCCCTGGGAAACATGCTGTCAGAACCCGTCTCTAGGGAGGACCTCACCGAACAGACCCTCAAGGACCATTGTCAAGGCTGAGTCGAAGTCCTTTAGGAAGAGAGGGGCTGTGCTCCTGGTAGTGGCCTGGGCACGTGGCCTGGCAACAGGTGTCAGTGGGGTCCAGACACAGAAAAGTCACTCTGAGGAGGGCCCAGCGAGGCAGGCACCATGGGCTATGAAATTCAATGTTGACTGGGGGTCATGAAAACAAGTGCAGTCAGGAGGTAAGTAACCCCCCGAAGCAAGGTCTCTAGGGGTGTCAGGAAGGTTCAGCAGGGTGAGAAAACAAAAATATGTTATATTTCATTATTTTAAGAGTACCTTTTTGTGAACACATAACAATACTGCCAAACTCATATGTGACTTACAAACAAGTAAATCGACATACTTCTATATGTTATATGTCAAAAGTTGCTTATCACCTGGAATGTGTTGTCATGTCTGATGGGTTTGGAGATGGCTGATCATGAGTGCCAAAGTCAGAGGAAGTAAGCAGCAAGACTGCTGGCATGACGGAAGTCGCAGCCTGCGTGGACCCCTCTCTGTGGGGACAGAGCCTAAGGCCCAGTCCAGGAGGCTGATATCAGGGCTGGACAAGGTCAGGGAAGGATGCCTCAGACTCATCATGGCCAGCTCGGCTGGCACTCTGGGTGTCTAGTTGTTGACTTCCCTTGGAAGCCCCATCCCCATCTGAGAATCTCAGATTCGGCTGCAGTGCCTCTTCATTCATTGTCAGGCAGCAATACTGATCTGCTTCCCTCCTGGCTTCCACTATTCATTTGCTCTCAAGAACATACCTGGGGATAAAGCATTTGGCACTAGAATAGATGCTGACTAAATACTCGCAGGAAAAAGAAACCTGAGTTCCAGAAAGCTGTGTGACACCTGGGAAGCCCAGCTCTAATGCTTCCAAGTGGATGTGGTTTAGAGAGATTATGCGCTCTTAGGCTAATTTTCAGGCCATTTTAACTTCATTGCAAGTACCTCAGCCCTAAACTAGTTGTGCATAACAGGCAGATGATTGGACTCAACAAAGCAGTTGCAGGACTTGGTTGTGTATACTCATTTCCTTTAAAAGAAGGCAGATGGAAAAAACTTAGGAAAGTCTGTAAATAGCATGTACTGGGAGCAGGCACTACGAGCTCTATGGTTTTTCAGCTCTTATAATGGCTTTTATCTATTCTCTATTGAATTTTACAGAATGGTGCTCCACTTATGCTGTATGTTATTGGTCATTCATATCAAATTCTCAGTACAAAATGGGAGGCAAGCACACAGCAGAATAAACCCAGAGGGAGGGGCAGCTGGGTGGCTTAGTCCCTTGTGTCTGCCTTCAGCTCAGGTCATGATCCCAGGGTCCCGGGATTGAGCCCCACATAGTGCTTCCTGCTTGATGGGAGTTTGCTTCTCCTTCTCCACTGCTAATGTCTCTCTCTCTTTCTCTCACGCTCTCTCTCTCTCTCAAATAAATGAATAAAATCTTAAAAAAAAAAAACCAACAACAACCCTGAGGGAGACCACGTTATGTGTCACATTGGAAGCTGGTTACCATACCCCGCATAGATGAGTTAGTCCAAGATTGAAAGAATTATAAATGAAGCCAGCCATGTGTTTGAGTAAAGTTTATGGTGTTACATACATTTATATTACATATACATTCTCGAGAGCATTTGGAAGCTCCTTGAACAAGAGTCCTTGCATGATGCCTTTTCCACACACGTCCAATGATGATATATTTATTCAAGAGATATAACCTCAGTTTATGTTTTATTAGTACAGCTAATCCTTTGACTGAGGTTAACTTGTGCTATTGCCATCAAAGAGCTGATTGTATGAGCCAGAGTGGAATAGACTCGTACAGCAGCCTTGGGGCTTTGGTCTACCACTTCCTGGCCCAGTAGACACTGCTTGTTTCTTTCCCCCATCAACCCTCTTGGCTGTCCCTGCACACAGGGTGGAGGTGTCTTATAAAATTTATTGCCACTCTTTGAATGGTTTCCTTTATCACTCACAATGCCTGTCATTGTAGCGTGCAGTACTGCCTGACCTGGTCTCCCCGTGAAGCCACTGTCCTTTCTGCTTGCTACTGACCCTGACGAAATGCCATCAGTGGGGCTTGTCCAGGAATCCTTGGTGATTTGAGCATCTTGTGGCCATTAATAGACACATCTTGGCAGGCTCTCTGTCATAGTAAACAGCTCCCATGACCAAAATGTTCAACAGGATCTGTTGAGTCAAGTGCATACACCCATCCTTCTACTTCTTAGAATAGGTACTTTGGTCTAGTCCTAGAATTTCTGACTTCCACTGTCCCCATTTGGGGTGAACTTTGGACTCTGAACCACACTTAGGCTCATCTGGGTTTTACCCTCTACGATCTTCCACTCTAAGGTGAAATAATGGGAGTCTGAGAAACCCATCCATCGCTGGACCCCTTGGCATAGGCCCACTGTGTGCTCAGCCTCTCTGCCTTAAATGTTCAGAAAGTGCTGTAGATTCCTTAAACAACCCCCTATCTAGATACCCCAGAGAAAAAGTTCTCAGGGTTATCCTGGCCCATGGATGACGGAGCACCAATCTGCACTGAGAATGCTTTTCCATTCTGAGGGTTTGGAGAATAAGCTTGCTTTTGGTGGGCTTAGACCTGCGTGGATACCAGAAAGCATTGTTCTTCAACATTATTTTGCCTTTAATGTAGACTCTGAAGAAGTCTTTACTGTGTGGTTTGTTGCCCAGAAATTGCAAGAATGGCAGCAGAACCATTGCACTTGGATATTCCCTTCATTCTAATCAATAAATCCAGTGTTTAAGACACGATGTGTCACAGAACCATCCTTGGGGGAATTGGCCAGGGACAGAAAGTATTGAGGAGAACAGTTAGTAAGGATGGACATTTAAAACTTTCTGTTGCAAGAGGGGCATCTGGCTGGTTCAGTTTGTAGAGCACATGATTCTTGATGTTAGGGATATGAGTTCAAGCACCATGTTGGGTGTAGAGATTACTTACAAAAATAAAATCTTGAAAAAAGATGAAGTAAAAATTAAGTGGCAAGAAATCTGATGAGCACAAGGATTTTCTATAATTAAAAAATAGGAATATGCATCTCTCTTCTCCCAAAGGTTCTAAAATTGGTTATTGACAGGGCTCCAGCTTGTTCTCCACTCCTTCCCTGTTCTCAGCCACCCCCAAAGACTGAATTAGTCTAAAAACTGGGTGCCTTTTCTGAGTTCTTAAAATGCTAGCACTATGTGGCTGTGATCCCATAAAGCTGTATTTTCACTGTCACCTCTAACTTGTAGTAGTCCTTGGTAATTACATGATGCTTTCTGTCTGTACGCCTGTAAACACATGATAAATGTTAACTCTTTATTCTCACCACACTGCTGTAGATATAGGAAGAGATTGCCCTGGGTTAAGTCTGGTTTACCTACAGGGTTAACTCCACATGTGGTCTGGTTGCATCTCATTGAGGGGTTCTGTCTTGTATGTGGCAGAGCTGGTCAAGTAACGTGTCTTCTTAAGGACATCCTGTGCTGCCACGTGGAAACCCTAAAGTCTCCATAGAAGCAAGAAGCCGAAGGACAGCCACCTGACTTTAGGAAGAGGATACCCCCAGCCTCTACAGTTCTGCCAGCTGTTCCTGTTTTGGTTGCAGATTAGATTGCTAGACTACTCTGAAAACATTTTGTCAGTTAAAGAATGTAAAACTTTGTTTCCAATGCATTATTATTTGTTCCTGACATTTAAAAGCGGAAATCTATCACTGCTTCTTTGGCAGTGATTTTTATGGCTTTTTGTTATTTCTTGTAGAGTCATTTCTTCCTAAGATCTGTTTTTTTTCTCCTTTTACATCCTGAAGAATGGAACACCAAATAACTTTTAAATTTATACTAGTGAATTGAAAAGCTGGACTAGTGTTCTCACTTCGGCAGCACGTATACTGAAAAGCTGGACTAGACTTTAAAGAGACTTACCCACGGAACAAAGTAATTACTGTACAGTTTTAAATTTCTTTAGCCATCCATAGCTTTAACATATTGCTTTGTTAAGCAACATGATTTCAATTTATTATGCAAATGTAATAATTATTCCATTAAAAAATCTGTTAGAAAGATCGTATGCTTTGTTTCTGTGGCACAATAAGTAATGCTGAATGTTCCATTTTTGTTTTTTGATTTGCTTATTTTGTCTTTAATGACAACCCATTTAAAGTAAAAGTCTTTAAAATGCTAGAATAATGTGATAACACGTTTTCACTGGTAATTTAATACTTGGATATAATGAGTTCATCTGAGAGATTTCATTAAAAACAGCAAGGTGCCTGAATACCAAAGCTGAGATGTTTTTAATCACAGAATTATAGTAATTATACAAATCCCAAGATTTTCATCAGACAGAACAGGCTTCCAGGGCTAAACATGCACTTTAAACTTAGCACTAATAACTGTATATTGTTCTAAATTATAGCAGAGAGACTCCTTGAGCCAAGGGGAATATTGGAATTGGATTTTTAAGGAAAATTGAGAAATAAACTATTTGGTAAGAGGCCCATCACCAGGGTAATGGAAGAGGAGCCCTCTCTGGTGCATAAGACATAGCAGGTGCGTATCGGATAAAGTCAGTGAGTCTCTTATTGTTTACTCTCTTTTCAGCATTAGAGAGAATGCTAGAATGAACACCTCTCTCTTCTCCCAGAGTCCTGAAGTTGCCAATCGCCAAGAGTCTTTCTTCCAGTCAATAAACAGGACAGACTTTCTGTAAATGACATGATTATTGATCCCAAATCTGGGGTTTTCTGGTTTGGATGGAGACTCTGTATAGAATTATTTGGTTATTGTGGGAATTACTTAAAATGTCAAATTTCTATAAAATGGCCAGGACATAATACCCTCAGGGAGCTTGCTTTTAAGAGAAGTTATATAAAAAGATGCACCTAGGAAGATTTTATTTAAAAAATCTCCCTAAGAAAGACGTTTTATTTGATCTGTTTTCCAGCTCAGAAGGATCAAGGGAGACAAGGACAGGGAATCATGGAAGAAGAGAGAACATTGAAGAAGCATGGTCTGAGGTGTCCCTCAGGGGCGGAGGAGGGATGCAGGGTTCCTGGGGCGACAGCAGAGGGCAAGTGAGGTTGGCTTCTCACTTGTTACCAGGGGTCTAGAGTTGAGGTGCAGAGCATGTATTTGAATGAAAGGCTCTGGGGGATCCCTGGGTGGCGCAGCGGTTTAGCACCTGCCTTTGGCCCAGGGCACGATACTGGAGACCCGGGATCAAATCCTACGTCGGGCTCCTGGTGCATGGAGCCTGCTTCTCCGTCTGCTGGTGCATGGAGCCTGCTTCTCCCTCTGCCTATGTCTCTGCCTCTCTCTCTCTCTCTCTGTGTGACTATCATAAATAAAAAAAAATAAAATCAAATAAAATGAATGAAAGGCTCTGTGATCTGCCTGGGGATTCCTGATTATCAGTCAGGACACAGAATTCCTTCTGGAGGCTGGAGCAGAGACATGCCTGGGATTTGAGTCCTGACAAGTATTTCTGGTCTCTGTTCTCCCAACCCCATCCCTTTCTATGGTAAACTTATTATCATCCCCAGTATGCAAGCAGAATTGGAGAGTGAGCTGGAACAACTGTCCCTGGACTCCATCTTAATATGTGATCATCCACATTTATTTGCATATTTGAAGCATCAGGTGCTTCCCCATGTCTTCATCAGAAAGCTCAAAGACCATATTGAGTCTGCTTTCAGTCCTGGCCTGAGTGAGTGCACACAGGTAGCACGTGTAGGTCTCACCTTCTCCGTCCATCAGTGCTGGGCAGGCCTGGGCTGGAGAAATACCTGCTTATGATTTCACTTCATTGAAGTTTTGCTTTTTCCCTCTTAACCATCAAAATAACATGTGCCATTGTGGAAAATGTATAAAATAGAGAAAAATGTAGAGAAGTAGGAGAATCACTGTTAACATGTCCACCCAGAGGGAATTCACATTTTGCTATATTTCCTTCTAATCTTTTTTTTAAAGATTTTATTTATTCATGAGAGACAGAGAGAGAGAGAGAGAGAGAGAGAGAGAGAGAGAGAGACAGGCAGAGGGAGAAGCAGGCTCCATAGAGGGAGCCCCATGCGGGACTCCATCTGGGACTCCAGGATCACGCCCTGGGTCGAAGGCAGACGCTCAACCACTGTACTACCTAGGTGTCCCACCTTATAATTTTTTAACTGCATCCTCTCTTTTTTATGTGCACTGCTTGGCACTTGCATATTTGTGTTCTGATTTAGAAACATTTAACAGTAGTCAATCCCCTGTCTAATCATTTTCTGTAAGCCTCATGGGACAGCTATTGAATATTGATCACCACGGTGAACATACAGATGCTGTTACTCTCTTGATTAAGTGTTCCTGCCATTTGGTCTCCCCCCAGGTCCCTTGTTGTGGTCAGCTGCGCATCTGGAAGGTGATGATGGGAATGAATGGGAAAGCTTGGAGTTTTCACTGCACTTGCTGCTGCCTGGAAGATCATCCTTTAGAAGTAGGCAAACTGCTCCACGTGGTGGTAGACTTCCAGGGACCAGACACACTGTAGAAAGAAATGAATGAAAGTGGCTTTGGGGGCCCTGAACACATGCTGCCTGTGGTCTAGTCCAGGGAAGCCCTCCCGAGGGGCCCTGGCATTCTGGAATGTCACCAGGTCTGGACGCATGGCTGATTCCTGAGTGACGATGGTTCGCCGGGGGCTGCTTGCGTGGATCTCGCGGGTGGCAGTTTTGCTCGTGCTGCTCTGCTGTGCTGTGTCTGTCCTCTACATGTTGGCCTGCACCCCGCGAGGGGACGAGGAGCAGTGGGGGCTGCCCAGGGCCAATGGCCCCACGGGGAAGGAGGGCTATCAGGCCGCACTGCAGGAGTGGGAGGAGCAGCATCGTGACTACATCAGCAGCCTCAAGCGGCAGATTGCACAGCTCAAGGAGGAGCTGCAGGAGCGCAGCGAGCGGCTCCGGAGTGCCCAGCATCGCCCCAGCGACGCTGCCGGCCTGGGCTCCGAACCGGGGCCCCCAGAGAAGCCCCCAGCGGACCTGCTGGCCTTCCTGCGCTCCCAGGTGGACAAGGCCGAGGTGCACACAGGCGTCAAGCTGGCCACGGAGTATGCCGCAGTGCCCTTTGACAGTTTCACGCTGCAGAAGGTGTACCAGCTGGAGACGGGCCTGACACGCCACCCCGAGGAGAAACCTGTGAGGAAGGACAAGCGGGATGAGTTGGTGGAAGCCGTCGAGTCCGCCTTGGAGGCCCTGAACAGCCCCGTGGAGGGCAGCCCCAATCAGCGCCCTTTCTCGGCCACAGATTTCATAGAAGGTTGGCAAGTTCGTGAGTTGGGTGGAAGGTGGAGGAAAAGGCGACTGGGGCCGGGTCCCCAGGCAGGTCGCAGCTGCGACAGGCTGGCAGCTGGCTGTGGGAGTGGCGGGTGGGAAGCGTTAGGTGAGTGACAGCGAAGGTACATCGCCTGGGTTTTTATTTCTTGGACATATCTGATCGACTTCCTTTCTCATGAAAAGCACATGGAGTGAGTGGACAGGCTCGTTGTTCCCTCGTAGAAGAAGGGAGACGTTTCTGCTTTCATTAAAAAAATAAAATAAAGCAAGATATAAACAAAACACATTGAAACTCAAATAGAGGATGAGGGGCACTTTTAATTTTTCTCTTCCCTTGGGCCCTTCTCCTGGAGGGGCCTTGTTACCAGCCCATAAGCAGGACAGTAACTGCAAACTCGTAGTCTGTAGCGCTTGACGTTTGCCAGATGCTGTTTTATACAAACTAATTCCCTTTTTCTGCCTAATGACCCTATTAGGAGGATGAGGAAATTGAGGTTCAGATTAATTGAATAAATTACCTAAGATTGCTCAGTTAGCAAGTGATAGAGCCAGGGTTTGAACCTGGGCAATCTGGTTCCAGAGTCCGCACCCATAACCGCTAGGTTATATTGTAAAAGACTCTTACAGCACTTGAAAACTAATGAGATGATGGGCACAGAAGAACAGCCTACTGTTAGTTTTTGTTTGTGTCTAATTTTGGAAGAAAGTAGCCTTAAGTTTAGTTTCTTGGAAAATTCATTAGTGACTTCTTATTGGCGTTTCCCTTGTTACGGGGACAAAATCTACTAATAATTTGGGAGAAGAAATAACTTTCGAGGGCATCCAGCTCTTCCCCTTGTTTCTGGAGAGAATCAACTTTAACTTCCCAGACGTGTAGCTGTGTCCATGTCACCCCACTCCCAACTTTGGTTATATCGCCACCCTTTCATCAGGCAAGACTCCCTTTAGTTCATATCAGTCATATCACTGCCATTTACGCCTGTTCTCTTTGGACACGTCCCCATCTTATGATTTTTTTCACTTTTTATATGAACCGTAAATACGTGCAACTTTGATATAGAATTATTTTTACTATACGTAGAGCCAGGTAAAGAAATCTTTTACAAGATCAAGCTATTGGTTGTTGGGATTTTTGTTGCTGTTGTTCATCATTTATATGAGGTATTAAAAATGCCTAGCACATTTGGCAGCTAGCAAGTATAAGCACATGGTTAGCACTGGGTAAGAGTTCAAAATATCATGATGTTGCAGCATCACATTTTATAGTGCCTTGGAGTTTATGAAACATTTCCACACACAGTATCTTACTAGCTGACACCCAGGGAGAGCCATTTAAAAAAAAAAAAAAGAACAATTGTTATTCGTTAAAAAACAATCCTGGTTGCCACTTGCCCAGGAACTGCCCACTCACAAAGCAATTTCAAAAGAACTTGATTACAAATCAATGTCTGCAATTTGGGATGTTTGCCCTTGTGATTTTTCATCTGCATTCATATTTGAAACCTCTGCTTTTTGTGTGCAATATCTTCATATGCAAGGCCCATTGTTCTTAGCAGCGATGCAGGCATCTCGTCCCAGAATTTCTTTGCTCAGAGATACAACTGCTTTCTGTCAGAGACGCTGTGATCCTAGATACTGAGTGTTGCTTTCATGTGTGGCACACAGCCTCTGTTTTAAGGCAGATCAACCCACACGTATCTTCCAGATTTGGTGAAAGTCTGGTCAGCTGCTTTCCTATGATGACAACTGATGTGCTGAAGCTGGAACAAGTATGGGAATTCTTGGTGTTTAAAGGAACGATTATAAAAGCGCATGGAATGCTTCAGGGTGATAATGGTTTTGCAAAGCTTCAAGCTGACTGTGAGGCAGGTGGCATGATGACATGAGCATGGGGAGCTGTGTGGCTTTGACCAAGACCCTTAAGCCCCATTGACACTTGGTTTCCTCCTCTTTCCTTAGAGACTGGACTTAACATCCTCCAAGGCACTACCCACCCCAGCCTTCTGCAAAATGCAGAGCACTGCTTCAACTTTTTTTCTTAACTTTGCCAGGCAACCATCCCTGAAGGGTCCTCTGCCACCCACTGTGCTGGGTGACCAGGACATGCCACCAACCCTTTGGGATTCTCCTGTACAAAAGGAGGAATTCGGGCAGATTATCAGGTGTGGACTGATCGTGGCCACTTCCTAGGTGCCATGGAGCTTGCAGAGGGAGAGCACCAACCACATTAATGACTATCTGTTATCTGTATTAATGTAATTATTTTCTAGCTCTGAAACAGAGGGAACAGCATGTGCCTCCCTCTTCCCTTTCCTAGATGTGATGTTGGCATTGACTTTTGTGTTGGTTTCTTACATAAGAACATGACATTTTTTTTTTACAAGTATCTGGTAAAAGAAATTAAAGTAGAAAAGTGTGATCCAATTCTGTGCCTTAGGATGCCTACATATTTATCTCCTCAAGTGAACAGAAAATCTTCATGTTTGTGGTTCAGCTACTCCTTCAGTCTGGGATGTACAGACTCCTTTCTAAATCTGAGCGGCATAACTTCTGGCTTTGACTTCATACTTTCAGTCGAACTCTTGGACAAAAATCTGACGTGGTTCTGTAAAACAATTCAGCCTTCCAAGTTATTCTTTTACAATCCAAGTGGCTGAGAACATGAGTCTGTATGAGACGTTTGTTTTGTCTGTCCCCATGGGATTGCGCTCTGTTACCCCCACCAGCTTTTGTGGATTAGTGGTGACTCAAGTGGCTGAGACACTGACAGAGTTTGGGGGTGAGGTGGAGCCAAGCGAGTGATCCACAAGATAATGAAGGTTTTGAGAGCACCATGGATTTAAAGCGAGGGGCACAGAAGTCACTATAAAACCTTAGTAGCTCCTGTACAGTAAATCCCGACCTCCTGTGCTCCACAACCTGCAACTTGTGCTTCCTGGGAAAGAAAGCTAAGGCAAGGAGTGAAGCTAGAGTGTTTGACTTCCGTTGTTTGTGTCTCACTGTAACCTCTAAGGGATACCCTGTGACCACTTGGGTGAATCAAGTCCATTTCCAGGTCCTGGGCACTTAGAGAGCAGGTGCTCAGTGAGGAGAGGAAGTGGGCTCTTTGCTCCGTGTGCATTTCAGCTGTAGGCCTCTCTGTCAGCGACTTTGGGACTTGGGGTAGGAGAGGGAAGGCAGGCATGCAGATGCATTTCTGGCCGTCTTGGGAGAGCGCCTGAGGATCTTGGTGCAGAAATAGGGGAGAACTGGGGTGGGGATGGGCGGGAGAGTCTGCACAGTGGGGAGGGTCTGACCTGTTTGGAATGTGGGGAGATGTGCTGGCAAGCGGGATGGCAGAAAGACTTCAGGTCCTGGGGTGGGCCTCAGTTCTCAGCCAGCATCTCCAGCATATCCAGGGAGTGAGGCCGTTAGAAGTCAGGCCAGCCCTTCTGACTGGCTCTCACCTCACCACGCCCCGCCTGGGGCTCACTTCTGAGTTCTGAGTAGGCCTGGTGGGAGAGGAAGTGGCCCATCCTTGGGTTCTGCTGGAAACAGGAGTCCATCCCCTGTCAGGGCAGGTGCCAGAGCCCCAAGCTACAGTAAATGCTCTGCTGTTGTAGAATAGTTAGAAATTCTTAATAATTTCAACACAAGGGGTCTTTGGTTCTCATTTTGTCAGAGCCCTGCACATTGGGTAGCAAGTCCCACCTCCAAGGCTGAGAAGATAGGAGGGAGGCGTAAAGGGGAGACAGAATTAGGGGCAAGCTGTGCAGCAGGCCTTTGCTAGGGGTCAGCTCCATGGACCCTCACTGTGCAGAGACACATGGAACTGTGTTTTCTGTCACAGAACTGCAGGAACTGCAAGTATGACTCTGTGCAGTCTTGTCATTGTGCTCATGCCAGGCAGCTTTGTTCCCAGGGGAGTTTTCAGAAGTTGGGGTTGTCACTGCTCTCCTGCCTTGTGTTTCCTGTTAAGAGGCAACGAGAGCACTTGTGAAAATGGGGAGATGTCCAGGATGGACAAATGTGGCTTTAGGGGGACCAGGGAACAAAGGCTTAGCAGAGAGAGGGCCTGAGCTGGGGCCTCATGTGAAGGAAGGATGTGAGCCTAGGCGGGGTGGGGGGGTTGGGAGGAACACAGGCCAGGAGCACCTTCCTGGGATGTGTGGCCAGGGCTGCTGCTGACACTTCACCCGCTCAGCCCCTTTAGGAAGGAGGCGGGGTGGGGTCTGCAGAAAGGATTGTAGCTTTTTAGCCAGACCCCTGGTTTATCCCATGGGGGCATGGTGGGGCCTCACAGCAGGGGAACCTACATTCATGCATAGGATGCCTACTGTTGGGGCGGAATGTCCTCAGCGTTTGGGGTCCGGAGAAGGAGGGTAACGGTGGGTCTCAGGCTTGAGGGACCTGGTTATGTACACGGGGAGGCCCAGCACTGAGGGGTCGAAGGTCAGTAGGGGGTACTCTTCGGGATTGGTGCTGAGCACAGGCTAGACGTTCAGGGGAGATGCCAGCGGAGGCTGGATGGGAACCCATCCCTAAAGCCGACAAGGGATTCCCTGAAAGGGAAGAGGAGACCAGGGGAGGAGTACCAGAAAGCAAGCAGGCTCCAGAATAGGATTGGTGTCTAGGGTTAGTATGGAGACCAGCGTGGTCACCAGGGGTGGGGTTCACGAGAGCCCTGAGCTGTGGGCATAGGGGTTTAGCACAACTGGGATCATCTGGATCTGGAGGATCCTTCCCAGGAGGCAGTGAGGCCAGCTTTTGGGCCCCAAGTAGCCCTCCTTGTCCTGCTTGCAGTGGTCCTCAAGTGCTTAGGCAGTTCAGCATCTTGGAGGTCCTTGTGGTCAGGGGTGGGGTCTATCCCACTGCTCTTATGTCTGTGCACTGGATACTACTTCCAACGGTTCCCACACACCAGTTTACTTAATCCCCTCTTCCACCAGACAGGTAGACCTGCTCATGATCTCTGTCCCACATCAAGGTCCCTCCTTTGGTGAG